GACAATGACACAATCTTAATGCACAGCACATCAGGATCCTGTTGGACTCTGCTGGAGAAGTACAAGAGGAACAATAAACCAAGGGACAAGAGAAAAGGGATGTGCCAGCTCTGGAACAGTCACAATGCAGGATGTTCCATTCTTGGCTGAGCTCTGTGCTCAGATGTAAATCTCTGGGTTTTTTTGTGCCTTGATATTCAAGAATACATAAAAGCACAGTAGCAAAATACTGAAAGATGTGTGTGCAGTGCATAACTTTGTTTTCTTTCCTGCACTTAGCAATTAAAGAAACCTTTTAAAGAGATGAGAAAAGTAGAGGCAGTAAAGCAGCTTCACCTTTTCATCAGCCACTGAATTCCCTGAACATCTTTCCTAAACATTATTATCAAGAAATCAAAAACTTATTGCAATCAAGTATCTAAGAGCCCCGTTTGATGACAAACAGCTGTCAGTTTGGCTTGAAATAAGCACATTTGCTGTTCAATCTCATCAAGCAAGTTTAAAAATCTTAAGCCTGAGTTTATGCCTACACACACAACCAACCTGACTTTAAATCAAAAGGAGAAAACAACATTTGAACAAAGACTTAACCATCAGAAGCACAGCACATTCATTGAATTGTACTCTGATCTTGTATCAGACCTTCTGCTCAAAATACAGGTGTACAAACCAAACTGAATTGGCTCAGTTTCTAGACAAAATTTTTATATTCTGGGCCATCACACACAGGAAACAAGCCATTTTTTGCACATTTTGGAAAAAACTGAAGCACTAGTGAAATTTTTTTACTTGAAGTTAAGAAGCAGAATGGAAGAACGGTGAAAAAATCATTACCTTAGGTTACATATAAATTATCCTGTAGCTCAGGTAATGTTCAAGATGTGTTCAGTTAAACCAATTTTAATACAAGGATGGATTCCAGCACTACAAGGTGTAAAATTTGAGTTATAACTGTCTGATAATTTTATGTCATAGAGGATGTATTTTCTTACCCAAGACAAGTAAGTCTTAGTAAGACAAGTGCAAGTCTCCAATGACATTTGTTTAGATCCAGAAAACTTTTTCAGTAGAGAACCTGTTACAAATCCATGACACACTCAGGGAGAGCTTTATCACTGGGAAAGGAGACCCTGCTAAACAATGTTCTGCTGTTAAATTTTGCAGGAGAATAAAATGACCTTATTTCAGTTTATGTCAGGCTCTCAAGCATTTTAATGCAGATCCCTTTAGAAAGGCTTCCTCATGCAATAGAAACTTTCAAATTAAAACAGAAGCCGACCAAGAGCTCAGTATTTTCAGGACAAAAAGAACCAGGAAAAATCTGAAAGTACAAGCATTTGATATTCAAATAACTAGAAGCTTTTTGATTAGAAGTCTGATCTGGAAAAAGGTTTGTTTTGTGCTGCTAGAAAGATTTTAGTTTTTACTTTACTCAACAAATGAAGGACTAATTAAAAGTCCTTTACCATAAAAATGAAAAACAAGACAAAGAAATGAGTCCTTTAAATGAAACAACTTGAATGATAGCTAAAGAGCATCTGGAGAAAAAGACTTCTACCCAGCATACAAGGATAGATCACGACTCTGTTCAGAGCAAGTCAAAAGATAAGCTCAGTGAAAGAACAGAGGCACATGTACTCAAAGTACAAATACAGTGACTCATAAGGATTTCCTAAAAAGAGAACCACCAGAATTCCAAGCAGGTAGCAAAAGCCTAAAGGAATATAATAAAACAAGATATATTTTGCCACAGAGATAGATATTTTCAACTACTTTGCATATGAGGAAAAGGGAGACTGAAGAACAGGGAGAAGGAACCTGTGGAAAAAAAACAGAAGGGAGCAAATCTAAGTTTAAGGCTCACAGTGAAGAAGAGCAAAAAACCACAGACAGTACCAGAGGGACAGGTGAAGTTTAAATCCTGCACAGTTACTCCTCAGCTTTTACACCAAACCCCTTCTCTCCCAAAGAAGTCACTGATTCTAGCAAACCAGAGCCTTGTGCCATTGGGACTTTGGTATTCATCCCTTAATAAAAGCAGCCAAGGATTTACTCAGGCCAAAGAAAACCCAGGCTGACAGCAGGGATACATTAGATGTAAAGCCAGCTCAAGCTCAGATCTCTGCTACACAGGGTGGCAGGGCCTGGGCAGCAAGGAGAAAGCTGCACACTTGGACTTGGGAAGCAGAATGTAGTCCTGGTTGTGTTTCTTGATCTACCAAAGGCTGGCAGAGAAATCTGTGTCCTCACTGAACAGGGACAAGCTCATGGCATTATATCCTCTGAGGCCAAGATCTTCCAAGCACACCATGCTGAAGATGCAAACAGCCTGACAGAACTCACTGCACATACGAAGAGCATCAATCACCTCAGCCAAACAGGAGAATTTATTTCCAGAAAGAAGCATCAGAGCACCTGGCAACAGCATTCCCATGTTTGGGGTTCTTCCCTTTGTGTTTTGTGCATATGTTCTGAAATAAAGGAACATGGCAATGAAGGTCCTTACTGCAAGTGCCAGACCTGAGCTGGACACACAACTGGCACCCTGGGCAGGGATGGATGGATTCCTAATGTTTTTGAATTCTGACCTTCAAAAATCTGATGGCAGGTTTTCTGATTGTTTTTAGGAAGGAGAAGATGATCAAGTGACCTTCGCATATATAATTTTTAATCTATAATACACATTTTAAATCTATTTGCATTTAACTAAAAGTTTAAAACTTTCTGGCGTTAGCTGTGACCTCTTCACTGGCAGCTGCAATTCCCTAGGATTTAGGGATGAGAACTGGTGCACCAAATTTCCAGCTTGCATCTGGGTGTGCTGTGCAGTGGAACCAACATCCAGCTGCAATCTCAGTGTGTCTCCCCAAAGCAAATTTGGTATTACCTATGGGAGCTCCACTTTGAAAAGCACATGGGACCTACAGTACTAACCAAACAGGACTTAAAAAAACACAAACTGAGACAGTAACAACTTGGCTGATAAACTCCTGAGACAGAAGCTCTATCACTTACAAGGTACTTATTGCATACCTTTAAAGTCAGATCTGACAGACACCAGAATCCATGCAGATAAACTACAGATATTTTTCATCCATCCAAACAGTATTATTTGGGAAACCAAAAAGCCTAATGGCATCTCTTACCTATATTGTGTAACCCAAACAGTATCACTGCCCTAAAATCCCTAATCCAACTGGACTGATGGTTCTAAAGGAGGTTGGCAGGAGGAGGCAAAGCAAGTCTTGTGCTGTGGGGGGTGCAAAGCATGATTACTTTTTTTTTCCCCCCCTAATTAATACTTGACTAGAACCCCTGACTTACAAGGGCCTTTCTTTATCTACTTCTGCTACAGCAACATTCATTGCACATGTAGACTCTGCCTATGGATAAACACAAAACAGCTAAGTTTGGGTTAAGCCAATGCATTAATGTGATTTGTATAAGATTCTACTTAGCTATTGTCAAAAAGGACTAACTGAAAGACTTCTTTTAAAAGTAATGCATTTAAATTTGTATGGGGTGAAATATGCAAGATCTCTTTTCTAGCAGTTAAAGAAATGCAAAGAAAAAGCAAGAAAAAGTAGATTAGAAATTCCTTCAATTATCTGCATGATCTAAGCTAAGTTAAAAGTGAGGATAGTCAATCCTTGACCAGGAAGCTCAGTACTCACTGTATCTGAACCCTCCAACACTGTCTGAGGAAACCCCAATGTATTTGTCTTTGTTCTTCTTTGCTTTCTTCCTCTCTTCCCGGAGCCGATCATCATCCTGAGCAAATTCAACCATCTCTTTTACCTTCTGGCGGATGTTTATCCCTTGGTCTTTGCCATTCTCATCTGTACAGGTAATGCAGGATAGAGAAGATGGATGGAAGATGGGTGGAAAAAGGAAAAAAAAAATAATCAAATGCACCAATACTGAACACTAAACTGGTAAGCAAATGTGAATTCTGAACACAGTCAAAGATTTCATAGCTACCGAGGTCCACTGCATCAGTTTAACAGGGACCAAATGCTTTAACACAAATTTCCATCCTTAGATAAATGAGTTTACACTGGTGTACTTAGAGACATCTAACTGCTGCTGAAACATTGGGAAGATTAACAAAGGCTGAGACAGAACTCACAATCTCCACTTGAGCAATTTTAACCCCCTCAAAACATCACCCCTTTTCCTCAGTCTTTTCAGCACAGTTTTTGCAAGTTTAACTGCAAGGACTCATTTTTATTGCAAAACTGATTTTTTTTTTGAAGAATTGCTTTCAGTTGGGATGTACTACAAGCTAAATGTGCTCCTTTCCAGCCTTTTTCACATTCAAAACACACACTGGCCTTGCTGCCTTTGCACTGTAAATATTATTTGGTGGGAGGAAAAAAAAAACAACCCAGCTTCAAACAGATGTGTGTGTTTTGGAGCTCTAACCTTTTCTTCCCATATGATTAAAGCTATTCCTTTACGGACACCACAGGGGACCAGTCTCTAGTGCATATTTTAATATAAACCCGACCACTCATGTTGTGTTGGTTCTGTTGTTATTAGCCAGGCTTTGCTGCAAGTTCTTGTCTTCACTAATTAATACTCTAGGGCCCCACGTCTTGGATTCTGCACTCTTCACACAACTGGCAACAGTCACATTTTAATTAGACTGGGGAAGCTTCTAAGCTGGTTCAGGTGACTGACAACTCCAACTACTGTTTTAATTTGCTTATAAGATTTTTCTATTGCTCACCTACAAAGTGGTAATTTTCCAGGGATCGCAAATCATAAATGTGTTCTCTGGCACTTGTAACAACACGCTCTGATCCATTCCTTATGAGGTAAGCTAGGAGCAGCAAAGACTATAAAAATACAAAGCACCTTATGATTGCATGAACAAAAGCTCTATCTTTTTTTTTTTTCAAAGGAAAAAAGGCAACAGAAAACCAAACCTCCCCTCCCCAAATTAGCAAGTAATAACATTTTTCCCTTTTAAATAAATGCTTGTTATATGGTTCACACAAAATCCCTGTTTTCCTCCTCATGTGTACCTTCTGCCCTTTAGAATATCCAAACTGTATTTGGATATTCTCTAAGTTGCTCTTACTAAATCATAACTTGTTACCTTTATCAGCTAGTGCTTATTTTAAAAGAAAGCAGCAGCAATATAAGAGCAAAAGTTAATCCTACTAAATGAAGCATTTTCTTTTGCCTCTTTTGTTCATGATTTTCCAATGGTTTTCACTGAGAAGTAACTCCTACAGGAATTTAAGGAGCCTTCTGCAGGATTCAAGTGATACACAAAACTGCATTTCAGGACAATTTTAGGCAAGTGACAAAACAAATGAAGTTTAAATAATACTTCAATTTTAAATCTTTATGTTGAGGATTTCTATCTAGAAAAAAAATTAATGCACTCCAACTCAAATTGTGTCTTTATCAGCTAAAACTATCATTATATTTCAACCTATCCAAACCTGATAAACAATTCCAAGAAGTCTTTATAACATTAAGTAGTTGGGTGTGATAGCATTAAATATTAATTTCTATTGTACTTCAGGGAAAACAATGACTATGAATACAAAACATCAAGCACCTGTGAAAAGCACAAACCATGCTTCAGAATTAATTGTGTCTTGCTACAATCTTGGCATCAAGAAAAACAAAATATCAGCCAGTCTAATACATCAGTTCTGAAAAACGAGGTTATATTTGCATAATTCAGTGAACACTGAACACCACTCTAAGTGCAGCACGAGACAATCTTTAGCCAAAAGTTTCTGTACAATGCTAATTCACCAAAGACAAGAAAAATGCAAATGTCTCAGTTCTCTTCCAAAACACAAGGAGGACATAAAGTCTTATAACAGCTACAAGAAAATTTGGTGCACTCAAAGTGAAAGTACAATTTCCACAGAATTATGAACTGGCAGAAAATTAAGATTAGTTTGCGTTTTATTTCAGGTATTCAAAAATGTTTCCTGTTATTACAATAACTTATCATCTCTTTCTCATGGAGCTCTGTAACAGCTCCTTTGGGTAGATTCAAACTGTGAATTCTACTCCAATACTTGAGTATCAGCAAACCATAATTGCTCTGTTATGTTCATTAAAGCAGCACCTTAGACACACTTCTCAACCCAAGAATTTCATGGCTTTTCATATCGAGATTCTGAAAGACATTTTGCTTCATTAGCAGAATTCTAAAGCACATAGTTAGGAAATAAGTTAGAGGTTGCTAGTGGGGTAAGTGCTGTAGCAGTTCCTAAACAAGACACTCCATCACAACAGTACCAGCACTAAGCACTGTGTCCTTTGCAGACCAACTCTATGTCCTGAACACTTCCAGCTCACAGCCATACACACCTTATAAACTCTCCTCCAGTTCTTTTTATTATCTTTCAGCATCCGAGTCCAAAGCATGTTCATGAGTTCTGGGAACTGCTCATACATAAACGTAGCCCTAAAAGAATGAAACAAAAGGAGCAAAGAAATGTTTTCTTTCTTCAGTCATTTGCTCAACAGCTTGTTCAGACACAGGGCTGGCAGTAGATGGCAGGCATGATCTAAGCCCAGGCACATCGAATGACATGGTGAGGGAAAAAGCTCTCCTTGTTTTTACTCATATATAAGTCATTTACATCCCAAGACTACAAAAGAAAAAAGTAATTCCAAAAAATCTGAGGCAGTAAAAGAACCTTCACTGATTTGTAACGAAAATAATGTTTAATATGAACACCCTAATAGCCACTGCAACTAGTCAAATCTGTAACTTCAAAACTCATTGTAATAGGGGGAACAAAAAAAAAAAGCTCGAGGAAGAATTTGACATGTTTTGCTCTGTTTGGAAAAGTCACAAGAAAGCAGTTTGAAAATAAACCCTCCATAAAAGTCAGATATATTGAAAGAATTTTGAGGCCACGTAAATGAAACTAAACAAAACAAAACAATAAAAAAAAAAATATCAAGAATTTTTAAAAAAATACTTGGGCTTCATTTTTTTGTTTGACAGTTTGACAGATTATCCCTTTCAAGAAACAAGACTTGATTTACAGCAACTTTTCAGCATTGTCTGCATACCACAGAGTTGATTTAGCAGCAAATTTCACATTCTGATATAAAATGCACCTTTCTTTTCTTCATCACTGAGTCAAATTATCACTTACTTGGCAATCTCTCCCATGAGTTGCCCGGAAGGTCCCCACGGATCATCATTGGTTGCTTCTCGAACCTTAGACTCTATTTCTGAATAATTCATAACCACATTGGTGCTGCAAAAGGAGAAAAAAAAAAATCACACACATGAAGATTAGCATCAAAACTGAGAAACACATGAAAACTTAATAATGACACTAGTGTGTATCTCACTTAATGAGATACCTCGACAGAGCGGGAAAGGAAACAGCTTTAGTGCACAAGTTACCCTGAGGACACTATACAACACAGTTAAGTTATCTTTAAGAAGGTTTTACTATTCTATTAGTCTTCAAGAATACAGATGAGAAACTAGGGATTACATTACAGCTGGATTCAGGCCAGTAAAAATGGCTTTTGGTCAAATTAAAATCCAAACGAAACCACTGGAGTCAAAGCTGATAGAGTCTGTGACTAGATATGGTTTGCTCACAGGTTTAATGGTGCAGAGGTATTTATTTGCAAGAGGCTTTATAACTCAATCAGGAGCAGATCTTGGTTTTTTGGTTTTGTTTGAATGCTCAGTGCTAAGAGAGAAACTCAAGAATATCAGTACTAAACAGGTGATAGCAAATAAATAAATGAAATCACACTGAAGACTGAAGTAAGGGAGATGAGATTTGCTGGAAAGTGTTCCCTAGCTTGAATTTATTTAACTAAGGGAAAACAGCAAGAGAAAAGCTGCAGAACACTCTGAATTACAACTACAGCAATGTGAATACTGTAAGGAGCTCAGGCTGTCTCTATAAGAAGTCACACAAAAACCTCACTTGGAAAAAGGAAGCAATTTTTTCATGTTTGTTATATTAAAATAGTAAATCTGTGATTTTAATATATTTTTTAAATTAAGCTCTCAAACTGGCAACTTATAAGACCAACAACCTCCTTTGTGCCCCTAAAAGCATCCAGATATATTTCATAACACAACCATTTCCCTTATATTTTAAGGTGAGCAGGTCCAAAGTCTCATTCATGTGGGGAATGTTTGAAAACTGCTCCCTAGTTAGGGAACAACAGAGCTCACAACAGTCATGAAACCAGCAGGGAAAGGAAACCTCGTGGCCTCTGCTGTCCCTACATACTTGGAGAGGACTTGAAATAACATGTTTACACCTATCATGTCAGAAATTTGAAAGTTTACTTAAAAGTACATCATACAACTGGTCTCAGAAGCTAAAAAAAAATACTGTTAGATGACTACATTCAACAAAAACCACCTCCAAAGTCCTAACTCTTTGTTGGGAACTGCAGTGATAGGACAAGGGGAAATGGGTTCAAACTGAAGGAGGGAAAGTCTAGGTTAGATGTGAGAAAAAAGTTTTTTACTCTAAGGGTGGTGAGACACTGGCACAGGTTGCCCAGGGATGTGGTGGCTGCCCCAACCCTGGTGGTGTTCAAGGCCAGGCTGGATGAGCCTTGAGCAACCTGATCTAGTGAGGAGGTGTCCCTGCCCAGGGCAGGGGATTGGGACTGGATGATCTGTAAGGTCCATTCCAACCCCTAAATTCTATGATTCAAAGTCAATTAAACTGTAGGAAAGACCCAATGATTTATAATGCAATGTGGAGAACGCATTTTCTGCTTATAAACCAATTCTGAACCTGAAAGATCTAGAAGGAAAAAAAATAAAAATCAAGATGCTCAACAGTCATCCCTCAGTCCATGTAGAAGTTGGCACAAAGCAGCATTCAAGCAATTCCTGTTCGATTTTATTTGGCTAAGGATAGCAAAGATCTTGGAACTGGGAGTTATAAACAGCAGAAACAAGAATGAGATCCCCTCAAGTCTGAAAGGGGACACAGAAGGTAATTGTTAAAACAGAATAAAATTCCTGGACTTAATCTTGGATTCTCAGCATGAGAATTCCT